CAGAATTCTATAAATTTTCATTTAATTTCTAAATATGACAATATAGTCTTTGTTTTGGTAGGTTGGTTGAGGCTTAAGCATAAATATTGCATCAATATCTATAATTAGATTAGTATAGCAATTAAACAGCAGACATTCGAACAATTTTAAATCAACACTGAAAAATACACATATTGTCACTTTACTCACATGTAGCAATGGGTGTTTGTTCATCCATTTTTCATGCGATTCCCTTTTCTACAAATTCCCAAAACTGAAACAGAGACATATTTTCATTTCAAGCTCTACAAAAGTGATATGCAGTCTAACCTTGATGTTTTATTGCAAAAAAATGTCATATCTCTTTCATTCGGTACCAGCCATACTGACACAAAATTTTTAATGTTGTAATCTTAAGCTGGTAGTTCATCATATCTGTTTCTAATTTGAGACCAGTGTGGATCAGCCATGGAAATGCAGGTTTTTGCATAGCTCATAGTGCAAGGATGTAAATATGGAATCTTTAATTTGGCAAATTATATATTCAAAATATATATTTTAAATTGATATATGATTTGGAACTTTATTTAACAGAATAAGGTCAAATTTATTTTACCATATTACAAAAGATTGCGCACAGTCCTGCTAGATAGGATATAAGGGCGAAAAAGTTATGCACATCATTCAAAATTTTAACAAAAACGGCGAATAAACAGTCAAGTGTTTATGAAGGCAATGATCTTAATGGAACACACTTTCCATCGCAATACTGATTACCCTGTGGATAGATGTTAAGAAATTTATCAATATTCATTAAAAATCAATAAAATGAAAAAAATGTACCTTTTATAGCAAAAACCCTTTGTCTTTTAAAATCACTTACAAATGCTCGCAATCAGAATATGTTGACACCGTTGTATACTTGTAGGTATTATTTAGCCAATAAAAATAGCCTAGTATTAAATACTTTAACATTAGACATCTAAAAGAAGAAGAAACACAAGCTAACATTGAATGACTAACAAATTAGTTTTGTACATTACTCAAAGACATACATCATAGAATAAGCAAAAATACATACTGATTAGCGATTGTCACAAAAAATTTTGTGCAACTTTTTATGCTTGTTTTGTAAACATTTGAAATAGTGTATTATAAATTCAGTATTGCTTATAATTTACTTTATTTGATTTTCACAGGGATTAACATTGCACAATTCCACACAAACTATTATCACAATGTCTAAATATAGGAGCATTTTATGCAAGGAATATGCAAATAAAATTTCTCAGTTGCCTCATCAAATATAATGTTAATACAACTTAAATTGATATATCTACCTAGAATAAACAATATACTCGTATTCAAATATAAAAGTGCACTTGAAACTAAGTAATTTCCATGTAATGTTCACTTATTGTTTGGGCAACTATTATTGTAGACTATTCAAATAATAATATCTTTCATAGGTTGATTTTTTGATTGGCATATTTTCACATTAACTATAAGATACAAGAATAGTTGTAAAATGGCCTCCTAAAATAGTGGCTTTATTTTGAACTCATACGGAACCTTAACAAAAAGTACATGAAGTTATTTGGGCTTTGCTGTGATATACGGATTCCCAGGATTGTAAAAAACCAGAAAAATAATTTACAAACAATCACATACGTATATTACACAAATCCACGATTTTCACAAGTCATCTTCATTTCTAAAAATTATTTCAGTCTCATCAAAATTGAATTTTCCTTTTTCAACATCTTCCAATATTTATTTTTGACCAAGTTATATTTATTTTTGACCAAGTTATATTTATTTTTGACCAAGTATACCTATTTTTAGTTTTTAAATGGTTGAAAAGTTTTTGGTGAGGCATAGATAATCCAATTTATTGTACTATTTTATAGGTGCGACCAGGGGTCACCATCTGATTTATCTCAACAACTTTTCAAACACGGTGAACAATTGAATTTATCTTACAGGACATAGTTACTCGAGATCCACATAATGATTTTTTTATCAAGGAATTAATAAATACAATTAAAAGACAGATTATCACAATGGTGGTGCATACATGCATAATAAAACTATTTATGAGAAGGGAAGTTATCAATTCATTTTTTGTTATTGACGAAGTGAGCTTTTTGACTTTCGAGAGTTTCATAAATAGCAACTACATAAATGTAGTAAGATTGCCCTGGTTGAAGCTCACTCAGCACTGCAGTGTAGATTTCGGTCTCTATTGTTGCTGCTTCTTTTCCTTTTATATCATTTGCCACAATCCGATATTTCTTTTTAAGCACCGGGTCGGGATCGTCATACTTCACAATAAAACTCTTTGATTTAGATAGAGGGTTTGGTGTGACCATGATGTTGATAGGAGCAGATGGAACTGAAATAAAATGCTTTGAGTATTATCATGGCTCACCTAAACTGCATATAGCTATTTCAGATATAAATCAGGGATCAAAGTATTCTCCTTTAAAAGTAATCGCTAAGTGGGCTGTTGGAGATAAAAAAAACCTAAGCATATTTTAAAATAATTTGGGGGCTCCCGAAGTATGCGAACCAAGATGGCGGACATCGGAATGTAATATGTGTACTAGGTTAGGGTTAGGCCATAATTTTAGCTATAAATAATACGGGAGGCTCTTGGCTAGTCTTCGAACTGATAATAGGACTAAAATAAGGAACATTGGAAAAAAATTATCGCTTAACCCTAACCTGTTACCCATGTTACGTTCCGATGTCCGCCATCTTGGTTCGCATACTTCGGGAGCACCATAATTTGTTTCTGTCTAGATTTCGCTTGATTCTTTCACTTCGTTATGCAAACAAACAACATTTTGAAATATATTAATCTTATTATATCATAGATATTAAACTTGGGTCGTGGTCATAAGAAATATAACATAAAAAAATAAATTTTATGTTATAGTTGGTGAAGCGGAATATGACACTGTGCAGTAAGGACAATCAGTAAATTATATTGGCTTTGATAATCCTGATTCCAAGCTGTAATCAATCTCATCAAAGTTTTTTTTAATGAAAATTGGGTGCTCCCGAAGTATGTGCACCAAGGATCAGAAATGGATATTTTTGATCTGTTGTTATGAACTGTGGTCCATCTCCAATTAACTTTTAATTACTTTAATGCGACCTTTAATGTGACACTGTCTTGTTGCTGCATCGCGCTTGATAGCTTTACGACGCCAAGGAACTTTTTCTAAATGGGCATCACTAATCCCAGTTCTTTGCTTGTTCTTTGTAATGTTCATTTTCGAAAATAATTGTTCGCACAAATTTGTTAGTTTTTGGTTGTTTTTCGAAAATTTGAATATAAATCAAAGAAGTGAATGATTACTTTGTCTTTCTATGAGTTTCAGTTTAAATACAGTAATCAAAAATTAGTGTAGAATAATATGTGATAGACTAGGCTAATATTCTTTATCGGTACTTTTAAAAAACAGATTGTTGAATGGTATGAATTAGAATGATAGTTTACAAATACCCCATTTTACAAGCAACAACTCGCGAAACCACTCTTAAAATAAGTACCAAAAACTTTAAAATGGTAAAGTATAGGAATCATTTTCCGCGGGCAAAGGTCGGGGATAGGTCCATTCAATGAATCATCCCGGGCCAGATTATTTTACTCCGGCCGTATTTTGCCGACCGATACGCAAACTACCGTACCTTACTGCGAAGACGAGTCCAGCAATCCTTTTGCGTGTGATAATCGCCCACGTGATTCAAGTCTGCGAATGCACACAGAGTACAGAATTAAGAGCACGATGCGCCGAAGAAAACAGGTTTCGCGAAATCGCCCCCCTATCTCCCCTTTCGACGTTTTCGCCCCCCTCTGTATCGTTTTCGCCCACCGGGGGGCGATGTCGCCCACTTTGGGAATCACTGGTCTAGGCATTGGTTGGTCGGTTGAGGCCTAGGCATAAATATTGCATAAATATCTATAATTAGATTAGTATAGCAATAAAACAGCAGTCACTAATACAATTTTAATTCAACACTGAAAAATAAACCTATTATCACTTTTACTCACACGTAGCAATGGGTGTTTGTTCATTCATTTTTCATGCGATTCCGCTTCTACAAATTCCCAAAACTGTATCAAAGAGACATTGTATTTTCAAGCAATACAATAGTGTTATGCAGTCGAACCTTGATGTCTTTACTGTGAAGAAAATGTCATACCTCTTTGATTCGGAGCAGCCATACTGGAACAAGAATATTATTGTGTAATCTCAAGCTGGTAGTTCATCATATCTGTTTTTCGTTGAGACCAGTTTGGATCAGCCATCAAGTTTTCACATAGCTTATAGTAAAAGAATGTAAAAATGGTTTGTTACCAAACTATGGAATCCTTAATTTGGCAAATTGTATATTTAAAATATATATTTTAAGTTGATTTAAGCTTGATATATTTGTTTCTAACAGAATAATGTCAAATTTATTTTACCATATCACAAAAGGTTGCACGCAGCTATGCTCAAGATGACATAAGGTCGAAAAAGTTATGTACATCATTAAAATTTTGAAAACTAAGAGCTGTTCATCCTAGATTCCGTTATTTTTTTGCTAATTTCAGCACAAATGACAAATAAAGTGTTTATGGAGGCAATAATGAATTCAGTTTCATTCGAATATGGAATCAATATGTTCTAAAATCCAAGATGGGAAAAAGCTAATTCAGGATGGGGCGGCTATTGGTACATCTTACTTATCTCAATGGAATACACTTGATTACCCTGTGGGTTGGTATTGAGCAATTCATCAATATTTATAAAAAAAAAATAGGCAAATGGGAAATTGTAAAAACTGTACCTTTTCTGACAAAAACCCTTTGTCTTTCAAAATCACATACAAATGCTCGCAATTAGAATATGTTAGCAAGTAAAAATAGCCTAGTATTAAATACTTTATCATTAGACATCTAAAAGCAGAAGAAAGACTAATTAGCATCAAATGACAAACAAAGTAATTTTGTACATTACTTGCATCGTAAAGTCTGGAAAATGAAAAAAAAATACATACTGATAATCAATTGTCACAAACCATTTTTATGCGAATCGATATTTCAAAACCAACTTTTTATGCTTATGTTTTGTAAACATTTGAACTAGTGTACTTTAAATTCAGTATTGCTTATAATTTATTTCAATTGATTTTCACAGAGATTGGATAAGTAAAAAATATTTAATAGCTAATTACATTGCACAATTCAGTTGCTATATTAAACATATGTTAATACTACTTCGATAGATATATCCACCTATATTTAACTATATACTTCGAACATAAAAACGCAATTGAAACTAAGTAATTTCCATTTAATTTTTACTTATTATTTAGCCAACTATTATTGTAGACAATTCAAATAATAATAATACTTTTTATAGGTTGATTTTTGGATCGGCATATTTACATATTAACCATAGGGTACAAGAATAGCTGTAAAATGGTCTTCTAAAATAGTGGTTTTATTTAGAACTCACAAAGAACATCGACGAAAAGTATGATAAAAAAAAATACAATTGATCCATGTGGTTTTTGCTGTGATAAACAAACTCCCAAGAGTGCAACAAAAGGGAAAATAATTCACAAAGATCACATGTATGTATAACACAAATCCACAATTTTCACAAGTTATTTGCATTTCAAAAAGGCTGTTTTTATTTATCATTATTTCAGTCTTATCCAATTGCATTTTTCATTTTTCAGCATCCTCGCATATTCATTTTTGATTATAGTTATACCTATAATTAGTGATATAATTTTGAAATTGTTGTAAAGTATTTAGCGAGGCATAGATAATTTATTTTATTGAATAGATGATACCGGGGGTCATCATCTTAGTTTTCACAACAAATTTTCAAACATGTGACCAATTGAATTTTTTCTCTAGGACATGATTTTTCCAAATTCACAAAATGATTTTATTATGAAGGAATTATTAATTACACGGATTCTCGTAATGGTGGTGCATACATGCATAATAAAACTGTTTATGTGAAGGGAAGTTACCAATTCATTTTTTGTTATTAACAAAGTGTGCTTTTGGACTTTCGAGATTTCTAAAAATAGCAACTACATAAATGTAGTAAGATTGTCCTGGTTGAAGCTCACTCAGTACTGCAGTGTGAGTTTCAGACATGACACTTGCTGCTTTTTCCCCTCCATGTCATTCGCCACAATCCGATATGTCTTTTTAAGCACAGGGTCTGGGTCGTCGTACGTCACGATGAAACTTTTTGATTTTGCTCGAGGATTTGGTTTGACAACGATGTTGGTAGGAGCAGCGGGAACTGAAATAAAATGTATAAATCATTCTTGGGGTCCGGGACAGAAATTTCAAGCAAAGTTGAATATAGGATAGAACAGAAATTTAAGTTCATGTGCTCTGTTTATCTGCATCTTTCTATTCATAGTAACACTAGTTACTATGAATACTTTTCTTTCCACATTTTTTACGGGCTATATTTGAATGTATGGAAATGAGGAAAAATTTTGTTAAATGAATAAGTACATTGTTTTTTCTGTTTAATATACTTTTTGGAAGCAAAATTGGATCAACACCAATTGAAAAAAGAACATCTCAAGCTGAATTTGGTTGAAGGCCCTGCTAACAAAGCCGAATTGATTGATGCATATTAATTGGTTGTTAGATACTGGTTCCGACCCCATGAGGGAATGTTTAAAACAACATTGCACAATTCAGTATATTTCCCGAGAGGCCAGAGTTGAAAAATTAAACCTAACATTGATATCCCGTATCAAACCCTATGTTTTTCTTATTTTCTCATGTTTTTTTTCTTTTCAATCAACAATTCCCAAACTATGAAGGATGGAATTATTTAGCAGATTAGATACTAATTTTCTGATTACGGTAGTTATGATGCCCTTGTTTTCAATATTGCATTACTGCACATATCCCAAACATTTAAAAAATTATAAACAAAATTTAACCTGTTGTTAGCTTTGCTTCTTCGCTTTTTTCACCTTGTCCTGCATCATTAATTGCCGCAACTTTAAACTTGAATATTGTTGAGGGATTCGGATTGTTGATGAAAAACTCATTCTCAGAAGTTTCGCTACTGTCTCTTTTTCCATTTTCTTCCCAGAAGATTTTATATGACTTCGGCCTAATATTGAGATGTTCCCATTCAATTTTTAAATCTTCACAATTCATTTTTGCTTCAACACCCTCTGGTTTTGCAGGATCTGGAGAAATGGAAAAATTATTAACATTTTTCTGCGTCTTGTCCAGTTACCAGTCCATTTGGGTAAGGGATAAGTTAGCCAGTTGATTTGTTTTGGATGCATGGACTTTATGGTAAAGGAAATGTACGAGACCAGCCGTTATGTGAACGTTGGGAAGAGTCCAGCAATCCTTACACGCATATTTATCTCCTACAATATTTCAACCTCGCTGGGTAACAGAGGTGCCATGGCAAGCATATTCCTATCAATTAGCCCGGAACACTACCCACCACGCCAAATTAAATTGACTTTACCCAGAATAGTATTGAGATCATACTTAGTCAATTGTATCATTTCCACAAACAGCATTTGCATAACCAAAGCTTTATGCATTAGATTTTAATATATTGTATTGTTTTGAATGTTGATATCATATTATAATCTTGACCAGAAATATTTATCGAATCCCATCTAACATTAATATTTGAGTGAGTCAACCGCATATATGACTGCCTGCTATGGTTACCACATAGGCATTATAGTGAAGAAGAAACTGTGGAAAAAAGTTTGACTTTTAATCAAAATTGACACATGTAGTAATCGCATTTCAGTTATCAGTTGGTCCAAATATGGCAATAAAACATGTAACAGAATGAACTCAAAAATGTTTTTGACTGAACTCTGGAGCGTGATAAAATGTTTTTCAATTTTCTGAATTATTCTTTTACTCTCCAGTCACTGTTTGTAATCTAAAATAAAAGTTTGTGAATGACTCACATGTCTGAACCATTTCAGAAAAAGTTGCCTGATCGCTTCGAAGTTCATCGACTACCGATGAGACATTTATGCTGTAGAATTGCCCAGGAGTGAGTTCCTGAATCAATGCAAAATTCTGCCCTTTTTTGGTCATCAATTCTTTGTCTTCACCAGTGATGGACTGAGCAATAACTAAATGCTCCACTTGCTTGAAATTTGCATTTTCGAATTGAACCAGGAGACTGTCATGAGGAGAAGGTTGATAATTTGAGACTTGTATATTGAATGGAATTCTTGGTCCTGAAATATGGTCAAAATGTTAATTATATGAAATACTTGAATTTTCCAGAATAATTCATGTTCTGAAATAAACAACGACTATCATGTTGTATTTTTAATCTACATCAAACTATTATTAAATATCCAAACAGTAAAACTACTAATTTCTGATGGTTTAGTGGTTGACACAACGTGCTAAGCATTTGGAGTATGCTTGTAATCACAACTGATTAGCCTGAGTCACTTCAAAGTCCTAGCAATATTGGTGGCAAATATTCTCTGTTCAAGTTTCATGCCCTCTGAGGCGAGGCCACATGTGATATGAAAACAATTCTGAATATTTAATAAAACTTGAATCTATCTGCAACTTAATAATTGCTTAACTAATGTCAGCAATGCAAGAAAATTTGAAATACCGGCCTAGGCAAAATCTTTGATGTAATTGCTGATCAGCTTATGCCTTCTGAGTTTCCATATCTGGAATTACCAATTTTATTTACTGAAGTGTAATATTGAGTTAACAAAAATTTTATATTCAAGTCGTCTTATTGTTTCCTCACTTAGAAAATATGTGCGCTTGTTAAAATATTGTTATCAATCATAAGATTTTAACTCACCAGTTTCAAATTTAATGGTATTGGATGGTGCTGATTCTCCTGCATCATTGATTTGAATCACATAGACAAAATAGACGCAACCTTTCTTCAGTTTTGATAAAAAATATTCTTGTCCGCTTGTTTCACCAAATTGTTTGTCAGTCTCTTCTGTCCACCAGTAAATCCGATATTTTTCATCCCTGGTAATAAAAATATAATCCGATAAAGTATTCAATATCATTCATACACGCTGTGTCTGATATTGTTGGTTCTATTACATTTAGTAAATATTTCCTTCAAGTGACTTCTCTTTTTGCAACATGTACTGATGATTTTTTGTGTTTGTTTAAAGATTATACTTCAATTATTCAAAGTTAAACGTAACTTTTGCCCTAAACGTTGAATATATTATATTAAGATGTGTGGCAGTAATGCAAAGCAATATATAATATGGTCAATTTCAGAATCAGAGTTATTTTATTTGTCACTTCAAAAAACATTCAAATTTGAAACAAATAAAAGAAAAAAAAGGAAAGAGCAGTGACCGTTAGTAACAAAAGAATTAAATAAATTTATGGCTCATTGGCATACTCTAGTGGTGACAGTGTAAACCAAATATAATGTAACTTTTGCCTTAAACGATGATAGGATAGGATTTACATATTTATCCCGGGGGAGGGGAAAGCCGATAATATGGGTTAATTATATGGCGAACCACGGCCTCTCGTCCGGTTACCAGTCCAGGTCGGGTATGGGATTAGTTAGCCAGGTATTTGTTTTCGGAAGCATGGACTTGTTGGTGGAGGAAGCCGCAACCGACCAGCGGTTACGTGAACCACCCTATGGCGGCGAGGAGTCCAGCAATCCTCTCGCACATGATCATCCCCGCATGGGATTCGAACCTGATCCCACGAAGGGTATTCAGAGATGCGGTGGCGAGCGTATTCCTAACGCTTAGCACGATGCACCACACCGCCGAGCCGATGAATATACCGGTATATTAAAAAGTGTGGCTTAATGCAATGACATATTTTTATCTTCCCTCTAAAAAAGCTCTCTCTGTATGGCAGCCACTGCAACATATAAAATGAAACCAAATGTAATGCTATGATTATTTTCTCACTCAGACATATTTGCCCCTTTCCATTTCACCAGAGCACATGTTCCATCAGATTTGTCCCAATCTACTTCTTCATTCAACTCTGGTTTATCGAAATCTGGAAACAGAAAATGACCAAAATAATATTGAGTTTATGTGTAATTTGAGCAGCTGTGAAGTTATATATTCTATGCAAAATAAGCAGAAAATCTAAATATCTTCGAAATTAACATACGTAGGGGAACTGATACTCCGTTAGACTGCAATTTCAACATTTCTTCTTCAGTTTTGTCCACAGCATTTTCACACATGTTCGAAGTTAATTCTACAATATTATATGTAATTCTGCAATATTTACATACATGTATTCAGTGATTACAATTAAATATTTGCAAAGAATTGAGTAGGCATCATGAAAGAAAAAATGTAACAAAATCATTTCAGATATACAACAAATAATTAGGCCCTAATATAAGCATCATTGTGAATGAAAAAAATTGAAAAAAATCATGCATATGCACTAAAGAAGGTCTTATTAATTGATATTAAATTTTGGTGCCGTGGTGAGTTTATCACTACAATATAAAATGGCGAGAAAATATTCATTTGGGTGGCCTAATCGTATATTCAACGCAGGCTTCTTGACTTATTCAGTAAAAATTTTAAAAATTTAAAGTTATACGTCAAATTTTAAAAACTTTCCCAAGCTACACTACACTACAGACAATTCAAAAATAATCAACTAAAACATAAAGAGTAAAATTTCTGAAAACAGAATTCTTATAACATGTGAATTTGCAATAGCCAACTTATTCATTGTTGACAACGAATTAGGTAATCAAACATCCACTTATAAGCAAGGAATTTTCTTTGCATTATTGAAATTGAGCTATTTCGAGAGACAAATTTAGCTATCAATATAAACAAACCTTTCAAACAAATACCATTTACGTTTAATTTATACAATGAAAGAGAAATAATGCTGAATACTAAATTAAGTCCTTTTTATTGGAGAGCAAATTTACTTTTTTTGCCACAAAACAGAGTTTGGACATTAATATTATAAGTTTGTCCAGGTTTTAGGTCATTAAATACATATGAGTATTCTTTAATTATTGCAGATCTAACGTCTTTAACTCTGGGAGAAGTACAACATGCTACTACTTTGTATGATTTTGAAATATCAAAATCATCCTCAAATTTTGCAATGATGCTTGTTGTTCGATTCTTTTCATTCCGCTTTACTTGAAAATTACGAGGTGGGAGTGGATCTGGAAAGAGATAGTAAAATTTCATTTCTGCTGCTGCTATAAGTATAGATGTATAGGTTACAGATTTTTGAATGTGTACTAAAACATATTTTACAGAATGGAAGCGGATCCGATTTTATCTCACATAAAATGGTTGATAATTTATATATATATATATATATATTTTTGACCATTTTAAAAAATTAGCTCTACACCGTGTTTCACCAAAAAAGTAAAATTGTTCTCAACTTAATGCCACGAATTAATAATACCTGTTATGAATGTTTGCCACTGGCTTAATTCTCCACAGCCCGAATGATTTGCAGCTGCAATGCGAATACTATACCGATGAGCCGGCATCACGTGACAAATTTCAAATTTGGGTTCATGTGTGGAATCCTCTGTTATCGTATTGTTTCCCACTCTCCACTGCACTTTGTATTTGTCAGGCTTAATTTTGAGAGCATCCCACGTGAAAATAACAGCTCCAAGTGCTTCATCAAAATCCGACTTCAAGTTTTGTATTTTGTCCGGCACTAAACAACAAAATAGTTACAACATTTTTGAGCATTGGTGACAGTAATAATATTCATATGACTGAAGGGTATACAGTATAGAGCAATTATAAGCAGATTAATTTGGATGTACTCATTATTAAACTATAAATAAATATAGATAAGTTTTTATGTTTGAAAATACTCTAGTAACGAACACAGATTCTGGACATGCAATATATAAAATGATTCGCATCATTTTAGAGACACTCCGTGATTATACGAATCGTTCCCTCTGTTCAAATGATGTATCTATATGTAGCTCTACAATCTATATAGTTGCTTGTGACTGTCCTATATTGCACTTTTATTGGAGATCTAATGAACTAGTTTTGAGGAATGCTATAAAAAAATGAACTTACAGGTTTTGACATATCCTTCATTTGTTGCCGCTTCACTGCTGGTATCTTCCAGATGAGCTGTGACATTTATAGAATAAGATTCTCCATCGATTAAATCTTGTAACACCGCCTTGTGTTGGTATGTTTCAATGCTTTTCTTTTCCAATGTTTTTCAGAGTGGTTCTGCAGTAACCTCATATTTTTTTCGAAATATAGAGCTGTCTTTGAATTCTACCATGAAGCCATGGATATCACCATTTGGAGTAACCACAATATCAGTAGGCGCTTCTGGTTCTGAGTAAACAAAAAATGACCACAATGTATTATAGTGTCGTATATACTTACATGCTAATCTCAATCAACTTGTTAGCAAAAATTGATTTTTGTAATAAAATAAATACATCAACTTGAATAAACTAAATATTTGTAATATAAACTAATTCATACTCATAATCATTGTCTTCAGATTGAAGTTCGAATCAAAACGTGAGTCACAGCCACAGTACAATCGAACTGTGTATCTGTTTCCAGGAGTGCCACTTCGATAAGCATAACTGTCATTCTCTAATACTATTTCAGAAGTAACACCAGTATGGTTGTTTTCAATTTGAAGTTTAAAGCAATTTACGCCATATGGATTTTCCCACTTCATATTAGCAAATCGAGAAGGATCATTTTCATCAGGTATAATTGTAAATGCATCATCTTGTAGCTTCGACCACACTGAAACATAATGTTCATACCTTTATCTTTACTTTAATGAAAGTTTGAAAAATTAAAGTAAAAACACTTTTTCAAACGAAACTCACTTATTCGATAGTGCTTGGATTTTGTCGGTTTGCCCCATGTTTTTTTTCCAATTGCTGTCACGGTACAGTAGCATAGTGACCCTGGTTTGGCGATTCCTTCAAACCTTACTTCAGTTTTGTTTGTTTCCTTTTTATCAAGTTCTTTCTGCCCTTCAAACAATTTAACAACATATTTTTCTGGTTTGTGTTTCAGTGGTTCCCACTTGATCTCAACCAATCTCACAGGATCTTGACAATCGTTTTCAAGCAATTTCACATCACTCGGTGCTAAAAGTTGAAATAAATGTTCTTTCTTAAAATAATTAAACTGTATTCTATATTATATTAGTTCTAGACAACATACCTAAATTAATTTCACATTCATTCGACCAATCCCCTTTTACTGTCCCGCGGATACTCCTGACAAATACTTTGTATTTGCTACCGGGGCATTGGCATTTATACTTGCAAGAAGTTGTATCAAATAATAATATGTTTTCCGGTTTATTTTGATCAGCACAGCAGATCCTAAGTTCGTATTTTTCACATCTTTTTTGAGCTCCCCATTTTATTTGAATTTCTGTGCTTGGATTCTCATCATTCAAATTTACCACAGGAGATGTGCCTTTTTCTGGCCCTATAAAAATAATATGTCAGCTGTGTTATGTTTTTCCATTCCAGGCACATGCAACTTTACAAATCCATTATATTTTTCCATACATAAAACTGAGTACTGTATATAATTAATTTTTTGTTTTAAATCTAGCCGCTGGATTTAATTTTAACCACTTAAGTCTTAAAGCATTTTACGAGGGTGAGAAGTCCAGCAGTTGAAAGAAAATTTTATTATCTATATGGGTAATTAAAAGAAATCGGTATGAGTTTATTAGAAACTTTTTTATAAATATGATGAACATGACTATAAAGATCATAATGGTTAAGTCACTCACTTGATAATACAGTTTCGGAACGAGAAGCTTTCCCTCTGACTTTTCCTGAATTTTCACCCCACATTATAAAGTGATATTTTTCTGCTGGTACTTTTGGATTGAAATTAACCTCAGCCACTTTTTTATCCGCATTGCCATAAGCTTCGAATGGGCTTCCCTCCAATACTCCATTGCAATATGCCTGTACAAAATAGAAAGGGCAATCCTTCTCAGCAACACTACATTGCACCACAATGTAATTTCCTTCTTCTTCCAAACTTGCAGCGACATTCTCTAATTTGGATGGTGCTGCAATAAATAAGTTATTACCGTATATAATTAGAAACGTTATATCTTTTTAAGATTTTAGAATATTTTTTGAATATGTTATTTGAATTGGACGTGTGCAAAAATCGGGTCGGGTCAAAATCGGGTACAGTCGGGTCCTATATTATCGATTTTAAGATCATTTTTTATTCGCAAAGGAATAAATAGTATGTTTTCAAATAGTTGTAACATGTTGCTCATAGTCAACAACTATTTTATTATTCTCACCTAATTCAATTATTGCTTGTTGAGACCATTCTCCATAGCACTGATTATTTTTTGATCTTACTTCAACCAGATATTGTGTTGCTTCATATAAGCATGGGTAGACCAACTCATTTGTATTTTTCACTGTAAGCCGACTCTCTATTGCACTATAACGACCACGTTTGATACGGACTTCATGTTTATCGCATTCAGAATCAGATTTCCATTTTATATTGATTTCTCTTGAACTCAAATTTCCTTTATTATCAACCGTGCAACCAGCTTTTGTGATTTCCGTCCTTGCAGGGGCTTGTAAAGAAAAAAGTCAAATTAACTCTTGTCTGACTTGGTGTAATGAATCAATGAAATATCATTGCTTTTAGTTAACTTTCAGATGAATCGTGTATATTATACCTGTTGTATATTTATTGGACCAGCTTGCATTGCCTTCTCCAGTTGCAAATACACCATGCACTTTTACTGAATAGGTTGAATTTGAATCTAAACCGTCAAAAATATATCCCGATTCAACAGTAACAGGTCCATGGGCCTGATGTTTCGCAGTATCCTGGTGTTTGTACATCACAGCAATGTATTTTTTTGCGTTTCCTTCAGCATGTTGAAAGCTCAATGCCAAAGAATTTGAAGTTGAGTTATCTTTTGCTGAAAGTTGAACACATTTTGGAGTCCCGAATTCTAAAGAAATACTTGAATCAGTAAATTAGCATAAACCAATATGGAAACGGTACTACTGTAGTATGTTTACCAGGTTACGGTTAGGTCATAATTCTATTCCGATTTTCCCTATTATGGTTCGGGGACTGTTTGTGTTAGCCAAGTGAATATTCCCTCTGTCAATAGGTTTCAGTCCCTTTACACAATTTGCCGTTAAATAGGCGAACAAAATATTTACCTCCATAT